ACAGTACTAGATCATAAATAAGATTATTTCCATCATGAACAAAAAGCAATAAAATAGAAATAATCAACTCAATGAAAATTTTAAATTATAACAAAAAATCTTTAGGAAAGATGGTCTCTTATGAAACAGTAAAATAAAAGAAATTGTTGATGTAATTTAATAGCACTTCGTAGTTTGTGATTACGTTAGATTTTAAGCATCGGAATTTGAGATCGAATATCTGTCAGAATATGATTAAGAAAAATTCCATAAATAGTTCAGATATTAATTTCATATGAAGGTCATTCATAAAAAACTTTCCTAAACTTGTCGAATAGATCCGAATTTGAAATTTTTTGAACACTATTAATCATTCTTAATGAAAGATTTTATATTATAAAAATTTTTTACTCACATTTATTTAGTTTATTTGAAATGGGTTTTCAAGAACAAATTAATGATATAGTAAAACGTTTACCATCTCAACGTCAAACATTATTATTTTCAGCAACATTATCAAAAATTCTTGCTGAATTTGCTAAAGCAGGTCTATATGAACCAGAATTAATTCGTCTTGATATTGAAATGAAATTAAATGAAAATTTAAAATTATTATTTTTTCATTTACGTCATGATGATAAAACAGCATTATTATTATATTTACTTCGTTCAATAATACCAATTGATCAACAAATTGTTTTATTTGTTGCAACACGTCATCATTGTGAATATTTAAAAGAATTACTTGAACAACAACAACAACAACAACAAAATTTATTTTCAGCTGTTACAATTTATTCAACACTTGATCATACAACAAGAAAAATAAATCTTTCAAAATATCAAACAGGTAAAGCACGTATATTAATTGTAACAGATATAGCTGCAAGAGGATTAGATATACCTTCACTTGATAATGTTATTAATTATCATTTTCCTGCAACACCAAAATTATTTCTTCATCGTGTTGGTCGTGTTGCACGTGCTGGACGAATGGGTACAGCTTATTCATTTATATCAACAGATGAATTATCATATTTATTTGATATACAAGAATTTATTGGTAAAACAATAAAATATGCAATAAATAATGATAATAATAATGATTATCATTTAATATTTGGTAATGTACCACAAACAATAATTGATGAAGAATCTGATACAATAAAAAAATTAACTGAAATAAATATTGATTTAATTAATTTATTTCAAGTACAACAAAATGCATATCAACATTATTTAAGATCACGACCAACATCAACATATGCATCAATTAAACAAATGAAACAATATCATAATCAAATTATTAATATGGATATACATCCAATATTTAAACAAAATTATATAGCTGAAGATTTAACACCTAATATACTTATACAACAATTAAAAACATTTCGAGCAAAGAATGTAAGTTAAAAATATCTTATTAAAATTTCAAAAACAATCTCATGTTTTCTCTTCAATAATATCTAATGAATACTCGGTATTTTAATTTGATAAATCTTATTGTTGTTATTATGTAGATCTAAATCAGTTTTTTATGATATATCTGAAAGAAATCATCGAAAATTATTATTATTTTTTTTTTTTGTTTTCTCAAAATGAATATATTCAAATTAGAAGATTTCAATGATTGCTATCGAATGATATCTTCAGAGTATGCCTACTAGGTAATTTAAATTTGTTTTCCACATTAATATTAGTATTTCTAGGCTAATTTTTGAATTCTACTTATTTCATTCTACTAAAAAGCTTTTATGCGATTAGATTTAACATATCGGAAAATATATTTCTCATTATTTAAATTGATGAAAGATTGGCTTTCGTTTTTCCGTCTGAATACACACTATGAAAAGATGCTTCAAGCGAAGCTTGATCTGTTTACGTCATTATATAATGAAAAATACTACATGATTGACGGTACTTGAAGATGACATTTTCAATTTGCTAGATGGATGCATTAATATATATTTTAATAGCTTCTTATATTTTTTATGCTATGTTGACCTTTTAGATATAATAAATACGTTTTTCTCAAAATGTCATGCTTATCAAATACTCTTTCGTTTTCTTTTTCACAAGTTTGAATTCTTAAAATATAATTTAAGTTCTTGAAATATTAAATTTATAATAAATACATAAACTAAACTTATATATATTTCATTCTATTTTATCGAAGTATTTAGTTTTTCTTGAATCTATCAATAAATTAAAAAAAATTGATTTTATAGTTTTGTCTTAATTTTTATGATATTTAAATAATAATAAACTTTTTTTTTTTTTTTTTGTTATGACATAGACAATATTCGAAGTAAATCCATCTTCAAACAATACAGCATGTGCAATTATGAAACGAAAACGAGCTCATGATGAAAAACTTATTCTTAAACATGATAAAAAAGATCAATCATTATCAGAAATTAATGATGATGATCAAACAAAAACACTTGAGGTTTGTAATATTGAATACAATAATTAAAATGAAAAATTTAAGTTTTTTTTTTTTATTTTAGGTCGATAATTTAACAATAACAATTCAAGATCCAAATGAATTAGATAATGATAATAATATGGAATCATCACGTAAAAAGAAGAAAAAAAATCGACGAGAAGTTGATAAAGAATTTTTTATTCCATATCAACCAGCTGATTTTAAACGAGAAAAAGGGTAACAAAAAAAAAGAAGAAATTTTAAATGTTTTTTTAATTTTTTTCTTAAAATATATTTTTAGTTTGGAAATTCAATCTTTTGAACGTCAAACTAATGAAGCTGTTATGGATTTAACAAATGATGATGGTACTCAAATACGAGGTCCAACAATACAAAAAACTAAATGGTTAATAAATTAAAAGAATATTTATTTTAATAGATGAATACTTATTTTTTTTTTTTGGTTTTTAGGGATCGTAAAAAGAAAAAATTTGTTACTGTTGGTCAAACTGATGCAAAAACAAAAAAAATTAAAACAGAAAGTGGTCAATGGATTCAAGCATCTTATAAAACTAATGCGTATGTTGATTTTTTTTCTTTAATTACATGATTATCAAATGAATTTTTAGGAAAATAGAATATATTGATAGGAAATAATTTCAAATTTCCGATGAGAAAAATTATATCGAAACGGAAAACTATTAATCCTATTGTGGAATATCTCTAAATATCGATGAATCGATCAAAATCATATCAGTAATGATAGAATTTTTATTCTAAGAAAAACTAAAAACTTCCGTTTGTTGGTTAAAGTAATGTTACAGCATATTCACTAGAGTTGAAGTAATAAGTATGTCTAGCAAGCTTCATATTGGCCAAAAAAAATATTCTTAATATCAAGGTTTTTCTTTTTCAATAGAAATGAATCCTATTATTTTCATATTTTGTAGAACACCAGTTTCTCTCAATAAAACACTAGCAAATGAAGTTCTTCAGCTAATTAATCACTTTTGAGTCAACATTATATAAGTCATAATGAGATATGAATACGCAGAGAAGAGTTCGAGTGTTTAATTTATTGCTTCGAAGATACTGTATTTCTAAAGCCAACACAGCGGTCTCGGTTAGAAAAACTAATTTTCAAATTTCGACTTGAAACTTTGTATAGAGATAGACCTTAACAAGAATAGATTATTGTGAAAGTTCGAGATCTTGTTACTATTTCTATCCTTAAATATGATGAAAAGACTGAAAGTTTTTACCATAAACTATTCATACTAATCTCTATGGTAAGTTTCAAGTCAAACTTTTCGAAAATTAGTTTTTTCCCAGTGTAACTGAGAAACACTACAGCTTTCAATTAAAAAATACAGTATCTCGGTAGCAATAAGCTTAGGGTTCAAACTCTTCGTGAAGTATACATAGTTCTCATTCAATAGATGTTTATCATTTTTGAAATTTGTATTGTACGATTGTTTATGCAATTTTCATTCATAAGTTTTGATAGAAGAAAATATTTACATAACATTCTTTTAAAACCATTCGTAATTAGACCTGTAAGCCGATCGACTAAGCCATCGGAGCATAAAAATGTGTAGTAGATATTTGAGAATTTTCGATATCAAGGATTAGTTTTCAAGGATGTTCTTATCTTTTTTCTTCTTATCATCATGTTCTCTCGCATTATTTTCTTCTTTCTTATTCATTTCAAAATTTCACACTATTAAGAAAATTTTTTTTTAATTAAAACATCGAAAATCTCAAGTTGTTGATTCATGCATAGACTTATACATTTATTTGTAAGCGAAATATGAGAGTAGAAATTCCTCTCGGCTCAAAAGTCTTGCAAATTTAAGTTTGTGATCATTAAGACTTTCTTTCATGCTATTTTTTTTATGTATTTTTAGTTACAAAAAATGGCTTAATAAATCAAAAGTACTTGACAAAGAATTACCAGATAGTCGTCGAAATAAATCTGAAGATCATATGCATAATGATGAAATTTCTACTGCACAAGCTAAGCCACGTATGTCATTTTTATTTCTTATGGATTTTTCTTTTTTTTGAATATCATCTATTTTTTAGGACAATTTCAACAACGTGTAAAACAATTAATGAATCGACAAAAATCTCAATTAAAAGCTAAAGGTCAACAAATGCCAAGTCATTCGGAATTGAAAAAGCCTGAACAAATTGTTAAAAAACGTGTTGAAAAACGTCAACGACAATCATTACAACGTGCACGTCAAATGCGTAAAGGTGGTCGAACGAATTATAAGAATAAACGACATAGTAATAAACCAAAACATGCTCGAAATTCGTCTTCGAATACAAATAATTCATCGAAAAGAACTAAAAAGAAATAAAGTTTTTTTGCTTGTAATTCCGATTGTTATTGTTTTTTTGTTTTGTTAAAAAAAAAAGCAAAACCAAATATCATATTGATACTCCATCTATCAAAAACATTGTTTTTATTGGTCGTTTGGTAAATAGTAGCATTTTGGAGGAGGAGTCAAAAAAAATCATTTGATTTCTAAATATAATAAATTTTTCTTATTTTTAGATTAATTTTTTTTTTCCTAAATAAAATATGACAAGTGAAAACGAATTAGATGTTATTAAACCAATGGACACTATTGAAAGTAAAGATGAACAAACTTTATTAACTACTTCTGTTGAACAAGCAATAACACCTAAAGAAGAAGACGAAAAAGTAAATGTTGAAAAGCCAAAACGTCCTGGACGAAAAAAACGTGAATCATCATCAATATTAGATACAAAAGAAGAAGCAAATTTAAATATTGCTAATAATATGGATACTCAACCACTTTTCGAACAGCCAATTATTCTTGAAGGAAAACGTTCACGAAAACCAACATTACGATTAGAATTATCTGATTTAACAACACCAAAAAAAGAATTATCTATTCCTCAGGTAAATTTAAAAACTGTATTTATTAGTTTCATACTGATTATATTCTTACTTATCATCACTCATAATCAGATTATATGAAATATAGAATATTTTTTTCTTTATTTATGAAAAAAAAAGAAATCATTTCATAAGATGGAGCTATCGTGAACCATCTCATGTAGGATGGAATTTTCCCATCTATACGGAGTCCTAGTAGACAAATATTCCTAATCGTATATATATATCATAGATAGAAAAGCTTTACATTGCTAAACTTCTAGAACAAGAATTATTTAAAATTCTATTTGATCTAGCCAATGATGGATGAGAAAGATTAAGAAGTAAAACAAACAGTTATTCAGGATGAGTTCTGTTTATATTTGAAAAACAACTTTAGCTGCAATCGTCAGAAGATTTCTAGTGAATATATCTTTCAAAATTTTGATTATCATATTATAAAATTAAATTTTAGTCGTTTATAAACGATGAATAAATCCTTCGAATTGACGTTTTTTTTGTTTTTCTTATGCATAGGTAATTAAATAATGAAGACGCATACTATAATGGAAACGCTTTTTTTTTTCTAATGACACAATTAAATTTATTTATTCTATATAAATGAAGAACATCTACTTCTTATATAAATTTTTTGTAAAATGACTTATACTTTTTCTCGACTATTTTTCATTATCATCTCTATAAATACTACTATTTTAATAATAATTTTAATATTCTTTATTTAGGGTCATGGAAAACCATTAGGTGAAATTGAATATAGTAAGACGAAAAAAAACACTAACAATCAATATTTATTAAAAAATTTTTTTAATCTAAATCTTTAGTTAATTATCAAATAACTCATGCATCAACTGATGCTGTATCTCGTATGCGCAATATATGTTTTGGTCGACGAGCAGTAAGATAAATTAATTATTCAATCAAACATATAAAATTATTCTTTTTCTTATTTTTAGAGTCAAACTAATATAAGACAAAATCTTCGAGAATTTAAAGGATTTGAATTTGAACGTGATGGTGATGAATATCAACGACATTTAAACAATTTAATCAAGTAAATTTATATTAGTTTTTATGTAAGATAAATTTTCTTTGATAATTTTTTTTTTCTTTTATATTTAGACTAAAAAAGGATCAATTACGATCAATTTCAGATATTCTTGGTTTACCAGCATCTGGTCGTAATAATGAACATGCTGAAAGAATATTAAATTTTTTAATGAATCCAATTGATGAAGGAAAACCAATACCAGAAAGAAAAAAGTCCATACGACGTAGTTCAAAAAAATCTAGTACTAATTCAAAACAATCAAGTCATACAGATGATGAAGAAAATGAATTCGAAGATAAAACAGAAGTAAATCATAGAAAAATTAAACAAAATAAATATTACTTAATACTATTTCAGAATGGTAATGATGATAAACATGAAGAAATTTTTAATGATGAAGAGGACGAAGAAGAAGAAGTAGAAACCGATGATGATTATATTGGTAGTGATGAAGAAAGTGGCTTAAATACTAAAGATGATCCAGATGATTTTGTTTATCAACCTGGAAAGAAAACACCTAAGAAAAGAACATCAGTTAAACGTTCACGAAAAGGAACTGGTCAGAAAAGAAAAAAAGGTTTGTTTTGATAATTAGTAAAATTTTCAGTTTTGATCATTCAATGAGTTTTTTTAAAGAAATACCTTTATCAAATTATCAAGTATCTTCTAAGAATAAAGTTCGTTTTTTTTTGGAGATAACAGAATTTTTGTTATTGATATTTGAAGATAGAAGGTATTGAAAAGTTTGACATACTCAAAATGACCTCGTCTTAGGAAGAATTTGATCTGCGTGAACGATTTAACTAAAATTATTATAAATCAAAGAAAAAAAGATTTATTTTTCACTTGGCGAAGTTTCATGGGTGATAAAAAAGTATTTCAAGGACAATTCTTATCTCTTTTAAGCATTGAAACAAATGTCAAACTAAACAGTGAGGTAGTGAGAGTATTTTTCAAATTTTTTTATCTTTCAATTACATCTAATTCTATTGTGAACAATCTTAGAAGTGAAATATTTTTCTAAATAATCTCAATCGAAATAATATTCATTATTTGAGACATTCTTCAAAAAACATGTGTTTAGCCTGTAACGTTATCAAACGTTTTTGCCATGACTCACGGCCATGATAAGCATTCTATGTAGCTCTATGACAACTATTTTTAACTTTTGTAGAGCTTCAGTCATTTGTTTTTCTTATCATCCCATATTTACAGATATTAGTCGTTAATAGTACTTCTTTTTGTGATTTGTATTCCAAGCTAATTCATACTCTGCTTATAAAATCTTGTTGCATTGAAATCAAATGCATTAACAGAGGATGATTTGTATAAAATATACAATCAACAACAAGAACATATAGCTAAACTATTCATAGAAGTTAATGTATAGACGTTCTAAAATGATCTATTGTCATGAATAATGAATTTTTAATTTGCAATCTTTCAGTTTGCTGGAAATATAATTCGAATTGTTCTTCATTGCATTAGAATATTTCTTTATTTTACGTAGTCTCATTTAGCTCGTCATGAAAAAAACTTAAATGACATTAAGTGGGTGTACTTTTACATACCACTAGCATAAGTAGTAGCTTGGTAACACCTCACATTGATACAGTCAGTGCGACTTTTTCAATTCTATTGATTTTTATAGTCGACACAATGCCTAATGTTTAGTCTAAAGTCTTTAATCACTTTAACCACTTATTAACTAACAAGGAAAGATTCTCAAGTAATAAATCGCTTATAAGATGAAGCTGTATTCAATCGAATGATCCTAGCGAGTAGGGAAAAATATTCCAGATGGATTTGAGCTATTGATCCTTCGTTGCTGAGATATCGAATCTTTAGGATTGGATTTTTTCTGTAGGGTCCTAGTTTTTGAAGAAAAATTAACATTTTTGAATTTTAAGATGAAATTTCAAAATTTTTTTGATTAAGTCTCTTCGAGATATGAGTTATTTGAAATAAAGACGTTATTCCATGATTACAATAAAAGAAAACCTGGATATTTTGAAAGATTCACATCTTGAAGAGACTTGATCAAAACTGACAAAATTTCAGGTCAAAATTCAAAACCTTAGCAACTCAGACATCGTAGTTCGAACCACTCTAGAATATTTAATTACTCTCTTGGCACTATCGATTGAATATAGTCTCAGATGAAAAACAATTTATCATTGATGAAAATTTTCACATAAGTCAAAATATGATAGATAGTATATGCACTAGCAAGATGTTTTCTATACTTTTATTTTATGTAGGTGCTGCAACAAGATCAAAACGTGGTCGTAAAAGATCTAAGATTATGATAGATGAAAAGACCGAGAATGAAGATGTACCTGGTCCTGCTGAACAAATGCAAATAAATGATGAAGAAATCAAAAAATCAAATGAAGACAATGTTACGACTGAAATAAATACTGATGAAGTTAAAGTTTGTTATTTTCATTTTCAAAAAACAAAAAAGAATTAATTATTATACAATTAATTTGATTTTAGAATGATAATCTTCAAACTATAGACACAAATTTACCAGAACAAAATGACGCAACCATGAACAAAAATGTTACAGAAGTAAAATTTTAATAAAATATTCCACAAAAAAAAAACAAAAATATTTCTTCGTTGTTTATTTTCTTTTAAAGATAATTCCAACAACAGATTAAACCATGGACAAAATAGATTTTCTTGCACGCTAATTTCTTCCTTTATGTTAATTGTGTGATATTTTTTCAGCTGGTTTTTTTAATGTTCCGGCCAATATCCATATATGTTTATGTATATATTTCTATATATATTATTCTTGGTAGTGATTGTTTTTTTTTGTGTTGTGTCGGAAACAAAAGATTAAACAAGCGTGAAAATGTCATCTATGATTTTTCGTTTCTTTTCATTTCTTTTTTGTTTAGTACTTTAGTTCTTTTGTTTGCATTCACGTACGGACTTTTAATCCGAAAGAAAAAGAACTGTTCTTGATTTAGCCGTTTATTATTATTATTTTTTTTTTGAACATATATGTTGATTATAAACATAGTCGAGCACATGTAAACTGTTATCGATGTCTTCTTTTTTTTTTTGTATTCTAACAGTATTCATGTGAATGTCTGTTTTCTGTTTTTTTTTTTCTTTTTGTGTAAGTGTTTCATGTATGTGTGTTTGTTTATTGAAAGAAACAAGAAATATATGCATACAAAAAAAAAAACCAAAGCTTATGTTTTATGTTTAAGAAAACCAAAAAAAAAAACAAATAATTTACTTTTTATTTTTCGATGAAAAATAAGCAGAATGGTTGAAGAAAGAGTGAAATTATGCGATGAACATATATTCCAATGTTCAATATGTTGTAATGATATTGATGATAAAAGAAATGTTTATGAAATTGAATCATGCCATTGTCAATTCTGTAAAGAGGTGCGTTTGAATTTAAATTTATCAAAAAATCGATTTCTATAAATTTTTGTTTTTCTATTTTAGTGTGTGCGTCAGTATTGTAACAGTCAAATAAATACAGCGTAAGATAATTTATTAATTTATCTCGACAATAAACTAATATCTTTTGTAAATCTAATTGATTTTTTATCTATAATCTATTTTATGCAGATCGGTGCCAATTCGCTGTCCCAATGGTGAATGTAATAATCGATTATCACTAAATGAAGTATTTCAATTAATTATTTTTTCTTCATATAAAAAAATTCACATTGTTTTTTTTTTATTGTCTTAGCTTCATTCTCTGCTTTCTGATGCACAATATCAACTTTATAATAAATTGTTACTTGATCATGGTTTTTTTGTCTTTCTTTTGAGTTTTTTCTTTTGTCTCATTAATTATTGTAGAGGTGACAAATGATCCTCATCGACTCTTTTGTCCACATGTTGATTGTGGTCAAGTACTATCAATAATTGATGAAAGCAAAATTCATAAAGAACATCCGATGACTTGTACAAAAGTAAGAAAATAATTTTTATTTTCATATTTACCTAGTTTTATATTCTAGTGTCAAACAACATTTTGTTTAAAATGTCGTTCACAATGGCATCCAAATGAACATTGTTCTGATTTACTGTAAATATTGAAATAAATTCAAACAGAAGATTGTAGATTCTTTTTGTTCTAAATTTTATGTAGTACACCATATGAAATGGAAGCTGATTCCAATATAAAACGTTGTCCAAGATGTCGTTTTCCATTAGAATGGATTGCCGGTTGTGCACAAATAATGTGTGTTAATTGTAAACATATTTTTTGTTGGTATTGTTTAAAATCACTTGATGTATATATGAAATTTATTTCCTTTAGTTCTTTTTACGATGAGAATATTATTTGTTTTTTAGAATGATTTTTTTTTGTTACATTTCGAAAGTGGACCTTGTCGAAATAGGTATGATATGATCTAAAAAAAATAGAAACAAGAAAGAGAGTTGGAGTTTTCACCATTGCAAAGAGGAGACTTTGAGGCATTGATCCACAGAAGAAGCACTATATTCATAACTTTTTGGAAAAACAAGATTAAGCAAACTGAAGTACTCAGAATTTAAAGTGCTATGAGAACTGCAAAACCCTCGATGTTTTGGAGATCTTGTTTTTTCAGTATCCTCCTAAAAACATCTTGAAACATTATGTTTCTTATATGGTTCGATAATATCAAGTTTCGTTTTCTTCAACGATGAAAATCGCGGCTCTGTTTTGTGCAATCGAAATCTGTCCAATGACTTTTGAATTATCCCGTATATGAACTAGTTTCTTATTGCATTGCAGGAACGTTAAGGGAATCCACTGCTCTATTCGAAGTTCCTGAAGAACGCGACTCATAAGAAATATTTCAAGCTTTTAGACTAGGTAAATCTTGAAGAGTAGAGCAAAATTTGTTATAGACTTCAAGTGCCCAAATACTTCCTTCTAGAAAACATTTGCTTGACTTTCTCAGCCACAATAGGTCCGATAGTAGGGGTGGGAAGTTACCGTTACCCGGGAGTTACGTTACCGGGTAACTAGTAACTTTTGAGTTACTAGTTACCGAGTAACTAGTAACGCCGGAGTTACCAGTTACCAGGTAACTAGTAACTTCGAAGTTACTAGTTACTTTTGGTAGGTAACTTGTCTAAAAAGTCGAGATATCGCTTCCTAATGACAGAATATCATCTATTCATCATTCAATTAAATTACGAGTTACTTGGTAACTAGTAACTCCTATGTGCGTTACTAGTTACTCGGTAACTCGTGAGCTGAATAAGTACTGTAATGATGGTATTCACTCATTAGGAAGCGATATCTCCACTTTTAAGACAAGTTACCTACCAAAAGTAACTAGTAACTCCGAAGTTACTAGTTACCGGGTAACTGGTAACTCCGACGTTACTAGTTACTCGGTAACTAGTAACTTGCGAGTTACTAGTTACTTGGTAACGTAACGGTAACTTCCCACCCCTATCCGATAGAACCGAAATTTTTCTTAGAGATACTAAAAATTGTTGCGAATACCTACTTTTCTATTATCTTCTTCGGTTTGAATGAAAAGATCAAAGTATTGAGCGTACCTTTAATAATACTTAAAATCAATATAGTATTTAATAGACAACACTTCGAAACTATATTAGCGATGGAAATAAGCAAAAGTCGAGAATGTTTTGATTTTAACACTCGAAAAGTGGAATACCTTTAACTAAAATGATGGTGAAGAAATGTGTCCTAGAATAAATAAAACAAAGCAAGCTCTATGCGATTAGTAACAGCAGCTACATCATGCTGCACATTTTAATCCTAGAGCGATTGTACTAGCAACTATTTATTTTTTTTTTTGCTTAACTTATTTTTATTCCTTAGACTGGGTCATTCTCGTGCATCACTGTTTCTTCATCGTCTTACAATTGTTGGTATATTTATTGGTTTAATTCTATTGCTTCTTATTGCTATACCATTTTTAATTTTAACTGCACCTTGTTTATTATGTTGTCGTTATAAACAAATAAAAAATCGTTTAAAAAATTTAACAAAATTAGGACAACGTTTTCAACAACAGCAATATACACCAACAGCACATCCATCACCATCATCATCATTAAATCAATTAAATAATTCATCATTGATTGATATCGAACAAGACACAAAAACAATGATCAAAACTTCATTATTATCTTCATCATTAAAAAATATCAATCAATCGAAACCTGAATTATCATCCGTTTGATCTCTCTCGCTTCTTTTTTGTTTCCTTTTGTGAATATTTTTTTAAACAGTAATTATTCAAATCTTGTCTTTGTTGTAAAAAAAAAAAAGAAAATAATACAGCTTTTTTGTATAGAGTAAAAATAAAATATAAGATATATATATATATGAAATTTATTGATTATTAAGTAGAACTGAAGAAAAAGCGTATTAAAAAAACATCATTTGTTTTGTTGTCTTTTATTATTTAGTTTGAAACTCTCGAACTAAAGCAACATATTCTTGTTGAGCAACTTCTTTAGCTTTGCCTTTATTTTTATCCCAAGCTTCCCATTTAGCTTTGCCTTTCAAATCAATCATGCTTGGTTTATTGGTATTGTTATCACCAATAGTTGCTTCTATAAAAATAATTCAAAAAAAAAAAAAATCAATATGTATTTTCAATTGAATATCTTATTAACTTACGTTTATAAAGACCATAGAGTTTAAGTAAATCATCATTCGATAATTTATTATTTAAAACTTTCACGTCTTCAGCAGCTTTATCGAATTCAGCTTGGGACATTGTTAATAATAGTTATGATGAAGAAACAGTAAGGTTTATATAACCACAACAAATAACATAAGATAAGATATTTTTAAATAATAAACAAATAGATATTCAGATAAAGAATATAATTATATCATAGTTACCTTACCTTGTTTCTTTTTATTAGTAGATATTTAATCGAGTTCTTAGCGACTCGTTGAAAACCGTGTAATATGTTTTTAGGACATGTTAAATTCTTTATATTGTCTCTAATGTCGTGTCCAACGCGACAGACATAGCTAATGGAGACGCACACTGCTTCATTTTCTCTTGGAATTCCTGTACAACATGTTCATTTTCCTCTCTAAACAACTTACTTTTTAAATTTGCCTTCTGTGCTAGTAAAAATATGTGTTATATTCATACAAACAACATTTTCAACAGTTCTTCAGATTCGAACTAGAAGTGAACATGTCGATCTCTAAATATCATTGAAGTAGAGAAGATTGTTATGAAATCAATTGAAAAGATTGATATATGTTGCTCGATATTATAGCTAATAATACAAAGTTCAGATTAATTGAAAGACAGGCTCAGTCATGTTTTAAACTTATTTATTCATTTGATTGTTTATTAGTGAAGAACCCAGAATATGTTGTCTTTCGTCGTACTTCTAATTATTCTCAAGAACAAGAAAAAAAGTAATACGTGGCAGAAACGGCAATTGAATAATTTTATTATGATGATAAACAGAGCAATATTTAAAGAAAAAAAAAAGAGTTAAAAATAATCATTGTAAAAATGTAACACCGAGCAGAATGAAAATATGTTTAACTAGGAATCAGTTACATAAAGAAGATCGTGTTATAAGAGGTAATAATGATGTTGATCGATAATCGGTTTTTAACATTTGTCGTAATTGACTTTTAACAAGTTCGTGTCGAACACACTAAATAAAAAAACATTCATTTTTTTTTCTAATCTTAATAAAAACAAACCCAACAAACAAATCAATTTGTGTATAGACATTCAAACAAGTGAATACAATCAAATCTTATTTACTTACCATATTTTCATTAACCGACATCTAAAAGACAAGCAAATAAGACTTTATAAAGCAATCAGCATAGCGAAACTATGGACAAGACGAGCAAAGCGAATATATATATACATCTATATAGCACTTACGATAAATAGTTTAGTTATTATCATCATGTTTATTATTATGATTACACTGTAGTTTTATGATATTACTTCAAATATTATTTGTTAATATACACTAAATTTACTTACCATAAGGTGCATATAAATTCGTCGTCGACGTGATTTTGATGTACTTTCATCACGTAATGAAACAAGTGATTCTTCTGGAGAATCGACTTCAAGTTCACGAAAACCAAATTTAAGCACATGACGTGGCAGACGCCTAAATTTAAATAATATAAAACAAAAATATTTATTGAGATAATAATTTCTTACATTTTTACACCACGAACAGGTGGTAAAAGTTCTTTTTTATGATCATCTCGTTGTTGATGTTGCATAGCCAATATTTGACTTGATGCTGCATAATCGAAAAAGTTTGATGAATGTTCATCATCAAATGTTGGTATTGCTTGTTTTGTACTAGTATGTTTCGTTGAAATATCTTCGATAGCTGAATCATCCTAAACATAAAAGTGAATTTATTTTGTTTTTTTGAAAATATTCGAATATATTATTATTATTATTACCTGTTTATTACCAATAATTGATGCAAGTTGTCTCATAACAGGATCATTCCAAATAATCGAAATAAGATTTTCTGGTACTCGTGAATAAAGTAATGGTGTAAATTTTGGATAAGTTCGAGCAATTTGTTCAATATAATTTTGAGAATCTGGTGCACCTTGAGATTTCAATACTAAATGTAAAGAACATAAAAACTAATTAAATACAATTTATGAATTCATAACAATATTTACATTGTTCGAGAAGCCATGCATGTGTTACTTCATTTTGATCGTATACAATTGGTACACTAGGAGGATGTTGAGTACTTCCATGAATAAATGTAGATCGTGTAAGTTCACGATTTGATCTTAGTAAATTAGATAATGCATCTTCCATATCTTTAGCTTTGCGAAGATTAACACCTAACAAAAAAAAAAATATATATATATATTTTATTTTCCAATAGTATTATTTAGTTTTTAATTTTTTCGAGACATAAGAATAATTTGAATTATATGTAGTTTCATTGAATAATGTTGGAAAAATACTACAAGATAATTTTATGAGTTATATCATTTACACTCGATCTTGTTTATCACATCGACAACTATCAGAATGGTTAAATTTAATGTTCGAAAAAAATAATTTTTCATGTTTCAATTTACAAAATTCAATCAAGAACCATGGACAAAAAATATTTTACTACAATTTTTTCTCAACAGAATAGAAGCCCAGTGTATTCAAACAAGTGCAAATTAGCAATGTAAATTTCTATTAACAAACAAACAAGTTTCTTTTGTGAATCAAAAAAATGTATATCCATGCATATTATAATGAAAGACAACTGTTCAAGAACTGATGAATAGGAGCAGTTTCTCAATTCAAAGCGTCATCATAAACAAGACTTATTGTATACGAATCAAATCATCTGCTTCCAAATTTTTTACTTGTGAAATAATTTAGAAATACATAAACTAAATAATGATTCTTCTAATAAAATTCAAGATTATATCCGTCATGAGAAATTCTTTCAATATCATATATATTAACCTGTTCTTGTTGCTCTAGTTTGTGAATCAAATTTCATTCTAGCCGTTTCTGCTGATGATGGTCTTTGTCGTTCAATAGGTGGTAATTTATTTGATGAATAAAAATTTGGTTGATTTAGATTTGTTGATGTATGTAATTGCATTTGTGATATAGTTAATGCATCAGTAAAATTTATAGCAGAATCTGTATTTGATAATAATGATCCTGGTATAAATTTTTCATTTCTTCTATGTAATTGTATTGAACGTATAATAAGTGATGATAATAATTGTACAAATTCTACTTCATGTAAATGACGTTTATTACGATTTAAATCTGATAAACGCATTGTACTTGTTGTTAATGGTGATGAACTTCTTCTATTAACCGTTATATGAATTTGATCACCAAATAAATCCATAAGAGATATTTTATGAGGAATTAATACACGACGATTTGGTATCATACGATAATAACCAAAATTATGTTTATGATCATTAATTATTGTTTGCACTGGATCAGATATTTGTTCTTGATTAATTTCTGTTGAAGATGGAATTTGAGTTTCATTTTGTTCCGTAATTTCTAAATGAAATACAAAAATCAAAATAATTCTATTAAACAACAAAAAAAAAAAAGAGCACCATTTTGTTTTGCATATGAATCCCACATAGTTGAATTATTTGGTAAAAGAGGATGACTAAAGAAGAAAATTAAGAATCATAAAAAAAAAGATAATCGTATGTAAAAATAGTATAAAAACCGTTTTCTAGATGAATGATCGGAACCAGTTGTTCGACTTGATGTTCGAATTTGTTTTTCACTAGAAACAGTTGGTTGTTTATGTAGACGAGGTGTTTGTGAAGATGATGGTAATAGAGGTGGTGGTAATTCTTTTCGTGGTTTTGGTATATGATGTGAAGGTTGAACAATAGGTTTTGTTTTTTCATTTATTTCAACACGAATTGATGGTTCAACAGGTGTTACTGCTGCTGTTGAAGAATTTAAACTTGGAGTTATACTAAATTGACTAGGTGTTTGTTGAAAAACATGATGATGTTTATGAATAGTTGGTTGTTTATCTATTCGAGGAGATGTTGAACGTGAACGAATAATTGGTTTCGTATCATCGATTTGTTCGTTGATAGGAGGATGAGAAGAAGAAGGATGTGTTGAATCTTCGATTTTTATATGTGGTTCTTCTTGTTGATCTTTATTTGTTGGTAAAAGATTTTCTTCTTGTTGATCTTTATTTGCTGGTAAAAGATTTTCTTCTTGTTGATCTTTATTTGTTGGTAAAAGATTTTCTTCTTGTTCTTCATACTCTTTCTCTTTCTCTTCATCATGTTCTTCTGGTTTTTCGTCTTCTTGTTGTTCTTCTTCTTGTTTTCTATCTTCTTGTTGTTCATCAATTGGTACTGATGGATGATAATCTGCTGTTGATGGTGGTGGTGTTAATGCACGATTTTTTTCTTTTAAATAATTTTGAAGACTAAAATCTTCTTCTGGTAAAGTCTATAGAATGAAAAAAACGAAATATTAATTGAAATATTTATTGTTAAAATTTTACTTCTAAATATGGAATATCATCTGCACAATCTTTTAAAACAGTATCCGACATAATTGAAGTTAATCGTTTTAATGTATCACAACATTCAGTTCGAACCAAAATCTATTTTTAAGAAAAACAAAAAAAAATAGTTATCAAAATTAAATAATTATTAAAAACAAAATTATACTCGTGGATCATTTATAAATGACTTAAGTAATGCAATATCGATAGCTTTTATTTCTTTGCCTAAATCAGCTAAAATTGTTGCAGCTATTAATCGATGATCGGCATCATTATGTGAAAGAAGTGATATTATGCCATTTGATACTCGATCAAATTGATCTTTTGAATAACCAATGACACTAAAAATAAACATAATCAATCGATTATGAGAATATTGAATGTTTTAAAACAAGAATATAAATTACAAAGAATAAGAGAGTAGACAAAAATATTCTTCAATATAATCATTCCGACCGTAAGAAATGACATCTTAGACAGTTATAAAACATCGAAATAGAATTTCAATTATACACGAAAACTCTGTTGAATAACATCTTTCTCAATTTTATTTGATCTTATCTTTATTCCTTCATTATCAATCGACAAATAGCAAAAAAACGAAGGAGAGCATTACACTATTAGAATCTATATGAAGTAATTTTAATAGATTTCAATAAATGTTTTACAACTACATATTAAAGGTCATGATAAGCATTATGAAATCTTTAAAATCAACTTTTGAACTTCATATACAACATAATAAAATCATTGAAACATTATATAAATGAATTAGAGATAAAACTTTTTATAAACTAAAATCTCAATGTATTTACCGATTTAATTGAACAAGATGTGCTGTTAATGTTTTAAGCATTGATTTACTCGCTGTTGGTAATTTAGTAAGTATAACATCAATAATTGAATCAAGTGTAATTGGATTATTATCACGAGGATACCAACGTTCTTCAGAAATTTTTTTTAATAATGGATGAAGAATATTATCATCAATTTTTTCACCACTTTCTTCTTCTTCATTAACTAGATCAGTTGAAACTTTTTGCAGTTTAAATTTAATTCTATCAATTATTGTTTTTAATGAAAATGTATCTTCAGAAGCATCCTTGAAAAACAATTTTTTGGTTTTTTTTTTTATTATTATTAACTTTGTTTCTAACTAAAATTCTACTTACTCGAACAGTCGACATATTATTAAGAACTAAATCAATATCATCTGAACTATTAACATCAGTAATAAATTTAATTGCATTTATTGCTTCTTGTCGAAGTATATTATCCTTCAATAATAAAAAAAACAAAAAAAAAATTAGTTTTCTTAATGAAATATTTTTTTGTTTTTAAGTTTTACTGGTTGACATTTTAATGTAAAATCAAGTAATGGAACAATAATATTTTTTCTTTCAATCATAAATTGAGCTATTGTACGAACTGTATGAACATTTAATGGATCATTTTCACCATCAGATAAGTGATTAAGTAGAATATCAAGAATTTGATTAACAAGTAATGGTTCAATACCATATGTTCTAATAGATAAATAAATTAAGTAAAATAAAAAAGAAAAGAATTTTTGTCTCTTTTATTAAATTACCGAAATATATCAACAACATAATTACAAGCTGATTCATATGAATCATTTTGTTTAGCTTTTATTACTTCAATTAAATAAAGTAACATTGAACGTAAATTATTATTTTCATCATTATCTGTTTGTTGCCACCATGGTTCATTTCGCATTTTTTTAAATAATTCTGGAATTGTTTCCTAGATAAGAAAATACGAGAAATAAAAAAAAAAAAAGATTGCAATTTCTTTATTAGAGACATTTATTGTAAGTTAATAAGCATTTCTCCCCCCAAAAAAACAAACAAACTGAAAACGAAACAAAAACTACCTTATCCCAAAATATATTATATTCAACATCTTCTATAGAAAAATCATCATCAAGCTACGCCAAGGATAAGTGTATTATCTGAGAATGTTTCTTTTCTTTTTTTTTACCTGTTGACGAGAAACGATTGTACTTGTTGTTGGTCGTACATCTTTAAAATGTAAACAAAATAATTAAGATTAGTATTAATTTATTAATAAAAATAAATACGTTTACGAGTTTTTGCACTAGATGGTTTTGATGAAGGTCGAACAACTGAACCTTCAGGATCTTCTAATTCTACCCATTCATCATCATCATTTTGCCAATTGAGACTTTTATTCGTTTTGTTCTAAAGAAATATAAGAGAAAAAAAACAAATATTTAGTTGATTATAAAAACAAAACAAAACAATAAAAGAACACTAAAAGAATCCATAAAAGTTAACTGTGATGAAAACAAACAAACAGACAAACTCTACAGTGTTTATTTAATAACAAACCTGTAGATTATCTAGTATATCCTAAAATATAAGAAGAAACATATGAGTTCTTTATCTATATGCTTACAATTTTATTTAATGATTGAAAAATAGTTGAATGAATACCATCGAAATTTGTTAATACAGCAAATCGTTTCAATCGATCATCTAATTCATTTTGAGTTGTATTTGATGTTGCTGGTGAAATCTATTTGTGACTTTTTTGGTTTCTCAAATACATTTTTTACTCGAAAAAGAATTTTTTTTTCTTTCTTTTCTCTCTTTTTTTTAAATTTACATACCAATCTTAATCGAAACATTTTTACTTCAACTGGTTCGATTTCTTTCAATTTGAACATTGAACGAAGTGTTGAATTAGGAATTAAAGCTAAAAATGAACAAAAAATAAGATATTATCTGACGAACGAAATCATTTTATACTATTTTTATGAAACACGATCAAAATCTAGAGATCAAAATTTGAACTCTCCCTACTACGAAAGATGCAACCAAGGAAACGTTACAAATCGTATATCAATAATATCTCATTATAATATATGATCGACTTCCTTGTTACATTTCCGAATAGGTAAAAGTAAAAGGATGATAAAAAAAAATGTGTGTCAAAATGAATGAAATAAACGAGTCGTCGTGTGATTAGCAACAGTGGTTACATCGTGTTTTATATTTTAATCCTGCAGAGATTATACTAATAGGCTTTTACCATCAGGTGCAATTGGACATAGTTTTCTCTTTTCTAACATTTTTGCCATTTCAGCTTGAGCTTTTTCTTGTTCAAGTGCTTCAAAAAAACCCAATACATCGGTCTCTTCAACATCTGTTGAAACTATAAAAACAAATAAAAATAAAACAATACAATATAGATAATGTTTTATATTATGTGATCGACCTTTTGGAATAGCATTTGAATCGAGTTGAACTGTTTTAGCTGATTCGACTACACTTCTAGATATAATAATAAAATATTAAAATAAAATAAAATAAAAAAAGAACTAGAATTATTTGATCACAATTCTACCTGCCACTATTCGTTTGTCTTTTTTTCCGTTGTTGATTATACAACGGTGAAGATATTTTCGGATGTATCATTTTTTTAATATCTCAACTGACTTTTGGTTAATAAAATACAAAAAAAAGAAACTGAATGGTCAAAAGCCGATGTAATCACTTGAAACTGTTGATGTTATGTTAATAAGTTAGACGGCTTTTGCTTTTTTTCCTTTTTTTTTTTCTAAGCTTGATCTGTTTATGATGTCATTAAAAGCGTCTACCCACTAAAATTTCAAGTATATTCATTTCAAATAAATAAAAAAAAAAGTGTGAAATGGATCTCTTTGTTTTTAATTGAAAGAAAGAAAAGAAGAACAAAAAAAAAAAAAAGAAATCGACTAAAATCTTATAATTTTCTGACAAGCAAACAAAAGAAGAAAAGAGAAGATTTATTTTTTAAATTTTTGAGAGAAAAAAGAGCAACAACGACTTAACATACAGATATATTTAAAGATACGTCATACTACTAATGAAATTTTTATGTTAGATTTTGTCAACATTATTATTTGAACAAAAGAAAAATTATAAAACATCTAGATGTATGTCTATGATACTTTTTTTTTTTTCTTTTTTTGTCTCAAAAAGAAAAATTATAGACATGAGAAACCTATGCAAGATGAAGGTTTTTATATATCATTAATAATACTCCCTGTTAGTCAACATACGGATTGAATTTTTTATTGATTTGTACAGGTAGTTCAATTGCATCGTCCTAAATGATATAATATAATGATTGTACATATAATTATATTTTCCCACCATAGATTTTCTTAGCAAATTGATATTTTTTTAATTGAAAAAGCATATAAAAGTATGAGTTTCAAACACATAAATGCAAGAAAATTCTATTCTTTGTTCTTATCTTTCTTTCTTTTTTTGTTTCTTCTTCTATATAATTTGGCATCATCAATAACTGACAGCATCAACAATTTATACTAGAAAGAAAGATGTTCTTGTTCTCATTTCATTTAGTTCTTTTCTTTTTTTTTACGTTTTATTCTAAATTGATATTACATCCGAATGAAGAATGACGATAATTTTCTACGACAAAAACAGACATTAAATGTCATTTTATGTTCAATCTATCTTATATTTAAATATCATTTATTTTCATATGACAGTTATACTAAGATGTATAATTAAAAAGAAAAAATTTATTTAATATAGAACTTTGTCTGTCAACAAAATAGGTATTCAAAAAGTCGACTAATTTTTTTCATTTTGTTTTTTGTTTTTGTTTTGTTTCTATGCAACAAAATTATTTCTTCATAACATTCTATATTTACCTTAATCGTTTTTTTACTTAAATCAAATAAAACTTGTTCAGGTGCAAAATCACTAATCATTAAAAAACTATAAACAACAAGAATATATGAGTTATTTCTAAAGCATTAAAATCTTACTTTAATCGTCTATTTGATATTAATAAAATATCTCCTCTATCATTAAGATTAGCAATTCTTAGTAGAGGAAAATCACATTTTATTTTTCTTATTGCTTCATTATTTCTTGTCCATAACTATAATTTAACATATATGTATACAAAACATTATTTTGTTTTTTTGCTATAATATTATTTACCATAATTTCATTTGTAGTATTTAATGTTGCAAATAAACCTAAAGTATCACAACCAGTAAGTGATTTAATTGGTGAATGTTCATGAAGAATATCTTTAGGTGAAATTTCATCAAGACCATTTATTGCTATTGCATACATTTGAATATAACCACGACTATAAGATGCAATAGCTATTCGTTGTTCAGCCATAGCTGCACCAATACATGGCGCATCAAGACGAATCTTTTTTTATTATTAAAAGAAAACAAAACAAGAAATTATTTTCGTTTATTTTTTTTTTTCTTAAATAAATTTACGGGTAATCCTAATTGACGTAAAAATACTTCATGATCATTTATTGATAGACGATAAAATTTTGCAATAAAATCATTTCCAATAGCAAGTAAATATCTTGCTCCTCCTAAATAATTATAATCAAACAATCTAATAAATGATTCACTCAATTTTACTTCGAGTAGTATATGTTTCATATGATTGAAATATTTCTAAGCAATCAACTGTCACTGTATCATCAAGTACTTGATAATAGCTATATAAAGCTTCAGGTGTATCAGGTAATAATGCATATTTAAGTTCATGGTCACCAGGAACAAGATAAACCTATAATTTCAATAGATGCAAAGAGCAATAAAATATAACAATCATTTAACATACTTTTCCATTTGTTGTTCCAACAAATACAACTCCAAATGCTCGACGTTTTCTTGTATGTTCAGGAAGAAGTGAAAACTTTAAAAACAATGTTAAACATTTAAAATTCAATAACTAATACATACCCACATAAAACAACAAAGTTTAGTAAAAAGACATTCTTCATTAACTTCAAATATGTTTATTAAATACGATGGATAACTTGCACAATAATAACTACATACTAAATAAAATATAAATATAAATAAAATATTAAAATAAAATTTATTTTTAATATTTTTACCTGCTTTACTTGTTAAAATATAAAGAATTTCTCCAGCTGAATCAAATGCAAAATCATTTACTACAATTCTCTATATAGAAAAAATAAAATAAAAAAGAAATCAAATTTTATTTATTTTTGATTTAATTTGAAAAGAAGAATTTTTTAATTACTTCAGGAGATAATGGAATTAAATTAATAATTTGTGCTGAACGTGGATTATAAATTGTCACAAGATTTTGTGGACTTCGTACAGCAACACGTGCTGGAATACTACCAACTGGAAATGTAACACGTACTTGTTCAATAGCTTGTAAAGTATTAGAAAATGATCGAATTGGCTATAAAAATAAATGAAAAACAAAAAATTAACAATATAAAACTATAGTTTTCATTACTAATGTATAAACTAATAATTGTAAATCATGTTTAAATTTAACAAGTAAATCTTCACCACGCACAAGCATCATTCGTTCAATAGATTCATTAAAACGATGTTCACCAAGCTAAGAAATAAAGAAAATTCATCATGTTTTTTTTGTTTTTTTGTAAAAATATTCTATAGAGATTATTTACTTTAGTTAATGAATCGAGAGAATAAAAACATACAGTTCCATCATCAGCACCACTAATTATTACTCCATCAGCAGTAATTAATAAACCTAAATAAACAAATAAAAATTAAATCTTAAGATATATGTTACATATTTGTATTACTCACTCTTCATAGCAACTTTATGTACTTGTAATTGATATCGAACAGGAATTGATTCGCCTCCAATTTCAAATACCTATAATATAAATTGTTTTATATATTCAAAAGAAAACAAAATTAGAAATGAAAGAATTATCTTAGATATATGATAATGCCATTTCATTTACCTTCATTACACCATCAGAAAATCCCATTATTATAGAAAAACCATAAATAATTGCACTAAAAACAATGAATTTTTGTATTTTTCTTTTATAAAAATTCGATTTAAAATTTACCATGTAACTGGTGCACCATGAGCAGAAAGAACACTAGCTGATTCTCGATTTAACTAAATCAATCAAAAAATTATTTTTTGTTTTCTTTTTTTTGAAAGATAATATGATAAATACGAACTAGTGTATCAAATATTAAACAACCTTTATGACCAACAATAAATAATTTATGTGTTATTGGATCAAGTTTCATATCAATAATATCATGTTTACGATTAATAAATACTGACTTTAATCTATCACCAAGTCGTAATTCATATCCATTCTGTTATAAACAAAAGAAAAATTATTGAAATATTTCTATGAGAAAAAAAAAGAAGATTCTATGTACGGGTTCTCGAACAAGATACCAACGAACAAAAAAACCATTATCACCACCAACATATATTATATCACGTGTAGTTTTATCATAAATTATTCTAAAAATATTAGAAAAGAAAATTATTCGATTAGATATTTCATTATTCATACCTTCGAGCAACACCTGGACATTTAACAAATGTTAAATATTTTAATTGACCATTTTTATTTGAAAGTAAATATAATCTATCATTTGAATAGCCAACAATAAGCTAAAAAAGAAAACAATATTTGATCTTTTGTTGTTTTATTTTATTTTTTTTCTTTTTTTGTCAAATTTTTAATTCTCTCATACTTTAAGTTTTGCAATATATTTTAATAATTGAAATGATGGAAATTGAAAATCATACCTAAATTAAATAAATATTTGATATGAATATGATATTGACTAAATTTTATTTACTTTAAATATCGTCGAATAATTCCTGTATTCAATGAAGTAAAATAAACAACAATTGCTGAACGTGGATCTTTTGGATCATCATAAAATAATGACGTAATAATCATATCTTCAACATCATTTGAATCTTCATCTTCATCAATTGATCGATAATATGTAAATGCTTGAAGACGAGTATCAAATGGAAATTTTGTTAAAGACTATATTTTTTATAGAAAATGATCATCATATTTTTCTTTTTTTATTAAATACTAACTCGACTTGAAAATAATGGAAATAGTGGAATTTTTGATCCTAAAGAAGAAATTCTACGTGAAAGATGTGGAGATTCTTCATGTATTGTTGCAGTAGAATGTAATTGATTAAGAATACGTGCTTTAGCTGATGACCAGGAGAGCAATTTTGGTTGAGCTAACATTTTGTACAATAGATTGTAGAGAAAAAAATTCTGTTGACTTTTATTTATTACGTTGCGTTGGTAATAAAAATTTTGTTTCGTTTGAGAGCTGAATCAAACTAGAAAGAATTTGCAAGCTTATATACATAGATGTGTACTCAAGATAAGAATAGTTTTTAGTTTAATAGTCAGATTACTTTCTTTGCCTTATTATTGACAAATTGTTTGAAATAGAAAAGGAAAAGAAGGTCATTTTATGAAAAATAAAAAAATATATACATATCAAAATGATAACTATTTAAATATTAGTAAAAAAATTGAATTGTTATCACAAAGCTTTTATTTTACAATGAAAGAACGGATCGAAAAAGTCACTGTGATAACTACACAGTTGTTATTCTTACTTAAGCGAAGTTCATGTTCTCGAAAACATCTGAAACGGATGAACACCTATTCTTCTTTAAAATATTTAGTGTCGAAGTTCTAAAAACTGAATTCTATTTGTAATATTCATCTTCCAGCGTCATCTGTTGAGATTGATTATTGGTAAACTTGTCAAATCATATAGTTATGTTCATTTTTTATCATTATTTCTCAAGTTTTGATAGATAAAATGAGAAGATATTGATCTATATGATTGGATAAGTTCCTATAATAAACAATTCTATGTAATATAAAAACGAAAAATGTTTTGCTTCATGTTTATTTGACTAACTGATAAGAATCTTGCTTCTATTATGTCTTAATCTTTTTTGTATGTTGTTTTGTAGTAGATATGAGTGATTTTTTAGCAGCAAATAATCCTTGTGGTCAAAATCTTTTACAACTTGTTGCAACAGGCAATGCTATTATAGCTGAATTATTACGTCTAGCTGATTTTATACCACCATTATTTAAAGTTATTAATATTCGTGATGCAGGAAAATATGCAGATATTATATTTGATTTTTCATATTTTTCTAAACAAGAATATTATGATGATTTAATTAATAGTCGAGCAGTAAGTTTAAAGATAAATAGTTTATGTTTAAAAGTTCTTCTAAGATATTTTTTGTTGCTAATTTCAATAGGATCTTCAAGATCTTGATGATGAATTTCGTGAAAATAATCTCACATTACTTACACGATTTTATCAAGCATTTGAAAGTGTACATAAATATGGAATTGAATTCAATCGGTAAATAGAAACAAAAGATGATAATAAGTGTTAGAAAGTTTGAATTTTTTTTTTAAATTGTACATTTAGATATATTGAAGATTTAACAAATGGTACTTATTTACAACAAACAGTTGAAAGTGTTATTGCTAATGAAGCAGGAAAACAATTAATGGTAAAAAGATTTTGAATATTCTTCTTGTAATGTAAATATGGCTTTGAACTGAAACCTTCGTTTTGAAAGACTCCTCATTCCATCTTCTACAAAATCACAGTCCTGTTTTAACATATACTCAATTTTTAATAAAAAAAAAAACATAAGTGATTCACTTGTTTCTTCAATAAGAATTCAATCTTTTGAAGAACTTTGTTTATTGGTAACAACAAAAAAATTTTATTTATTCCCTATAGCATTTACAAGAGCCTTGATTATGAAATATCTGTTTTGGACACTGAGAAACTTTGATAATAGTTGATCGAAACTCAACATTTTAAACTAATGTTCTAAATTTCGATAAAACGAAAAAAGTTTATGGAATTTAGACTACACTTTAATCAGCACGTTTTATGTTAACCCAACAATAGCGAAGTCGGCAAATGTTGGAAGAAGAAACTGCTCTATTCGGTTCTCTCTGCAAATAACAATATTGATCAAACGAGTATTACGAATACGGTCATTTTTGATGGTACATTCATTACTTAATAATCATGTCTTTTGTATGAAATATCTAATCATTATTTTCATTCACCAAGCATGAGATATTTTGTTAGATATTGTCTTATTATTATAGTTTCAAATATTCTAAATTTTTTCAAGTTTTTCTACTATCTGAAGCTTTAGGAAGCATCCAAAGAGTGATTCGAGTGCAGCAAACTGATATATAGTTTAAACAAAAGTATATTCACCCGCTCCGAGTGCGAAAAAATTAGGACTTAGGTTTTCTAGAAAACGCTAGCAACTCGATTCACTCTTTGGATCTTTCTAGAGCTAAAGACAACGGAAAACTAGTAAAAACAAACCTTATTAAATAATTTTATTACCAATCAAGCGAATCAAAATAAAAATTTTCATCATGTATCTATAATTTAATATAAAAATTATTTAGACTGAAGCTGTTTATTTATTTGGTGTAATGTTAATAATATTGGATTTAAAATATGATGGTGCTGCTCGAGAACGAATGATTGTTTCTTATTTTCGTTATAGGTAAAAGAATTTTATGCATTACTTAGAAATTATTTCAATCTTTTTCTTTTTTGTCATTAATAAATTTTAGTGGTAAACGCAATGCATTAGATAGTAATATTGATGAAGTCGGAAAATTATTAGCACGAAATGATGGTTTTTCTCTTCAACCATATAAACGTCCACTTGGTTATCCAGAAAATTATTTTAGGTAAAACAAAAAAAAAGAAGAAAAATTTATATATTTTATTTTTATTTTTCATCAAATAGACGTATTGGTTTTCGTGAAGATGTTATTGGTATAATCATAGGTCGTTTACGTTCTGATGATATATATAATCAAAAAAAAGCTTATACTGAACTTGAACATCAAACAGCAGCATATGCAACACAAGCATCTATGCTTTATGTTTTACTTTATTTTTATCCTGATGTTTTACATAATAAACAAGCTATTATGCGTGAAATAGTTGATAAACATTTTGCTGATAATTGGGTTATTAATTTATATATGGGTATGACAGTAAATTTAATTGATGCATGGGAACCATATAAAGCAGCAAAAGCAGCACTTAATAATACACTTGATATTCAAGCTGTTAAAAGTCGAGTATGTTATTTTATTTGTCTTTTTTTTTATCAATCAATTTAATCAATAAAGATCTCCACAATTGATAACACTAATTTCTATAGATATGAGAGAGAACATAACTGAGTGAGACGACTTTCTATGTCGGTGAATTCAAAGAACACTTGCTTTTGTATATTAAACCTAATGTAGAGATGTATTTGCAAGTATCATTCTTAAAAGTGACTTAAAAACAGTTATGATCAATCCTGTCCCATAGTAGATTTCAAAATTTTGCTTACATTCTCGTATAGCTACAACGATGCAATCCGATTGGTACATATAGAAAAAAAGCCTTAAAATTTGACTCTTCTATGATGATAGATCATGTCATAACTTTTAAACATCATTTTCTATTACGAAAACACTATTTTTATTAAGAAAAAAAGACGACTAAGCATTATTAACCCATCGTTGGGAACGAAAAAGAAATCATTGTCTTAATAGAAATCTTTGAAACATTTGACTTATCTATTTAGTGTCAAATGACACATGATAAAATTGGCAAATTAAATAAACAAGTTGAACAATATCTTATTGAAGGTGTTTTAATTGAAGAATATGTTTTAAAAAATATTTCCATATTATTAAAATTTATGAAAGAATGTAATATATGTTTACGATGGATTATATTACATACAAGTGAATTACCAATTGGTGCTGATATTAATAAACGATGTAAACAAATGTTACAACTTGTTATTAATGAATCACAATATAATCCATCAGAAGTATTTAAATTATTATTAAATACAGCACAATTTGAATTTAATCTTAAAGAGGTTTTTTTGTTTATCGTTACACACACAAAAAAAAATAGAAAAGAAATTCATTTTGTTTTTGTTTTTCTTGATAGATTGTTAGTTTATTATTAGCTGAAAAACATGATCGATGGATAGCAAATAGAAAAGAAGCTGTTGAACGTCTTATTGAATTAGCTGATGTTTTTTCTGGTACAATGCCATTAACACGTGTAGAAAAAAATGGTAGAAATAATTTTTTGTTCTATTTTTATAAATAAAATGAAAATTATATTTTATTTGAAAATAGATAATCTTCAAACATGGTTTCGTACAATGGCTAAACGTATTGAATCATTAGATTTTGAAGATTGGACAAGTGCTGGTCGTCAAACAAATCAAATAATGACAGCTTTAGATGAAGTACAACAATTTCATGAATTGGATACAAATATGCAAGTGAAACAATTTTTAAATGATAATAAACGTCTTTTAAGTACAATGATTCTATTAAATAATGTTCAAGAATCAACAATTAGTATCATGGATCTTGTTGCTGATTTATCTTATGCATGGATTATTATTGATAGGTAAATATATATACAAATCATTCAGAGTAAAACATAGAAGTCTTGATTAATTCATAAGACTATTGTCTACAGATTTAGCTAAGAATAGAGACTCTCGTACTCATCAGGCAGAACCAATCGAGTTCATTTTGTAAGTCTAGAAATCAAAGACTTACAAACTCTTACGAAAGCAGTTTATATTGCTTTTGAAATCTTCAACTTACTTTTTTTGCTTTGGTAAAAATAGTTAGATTTAATTTTTTCATTTCATATAACTGTAAAGCTTCCGTTTGTATTTCGAATTAGAATTCAATAATCTTTATATCGATATAGTAGATGATTTAACATTATAACATAATAGATTTAAGAAAAGATAGCATCAATGCTCATCTCGAATATCAATATAAGAATTATTGATGAAAATAATATATGTATTAATGTTTCAATATTATCTCGTTTGTTTTCTCATTTTGTATTTAGTTTTACTGGTGTAATGCAAGAAGGGATAAAACGTAGTCCTTCATTAGTAACAAAACTACGTGCAACATTTTTAAAAGTAAATCTTTTTTTTTTCTTTTAAATAAAAATTCATTTTCTTAAAATTCAAAATTTAAGCTTTCATCAGCACTTGATCTTCCATTAGTACGAATCAATCAAGTTGGTAGTAATGATCTTATGATTGTAAGTCATTATTATTCTGGTGAACTTGTTGCTTATGTACGAAAAGTTTTACAAGTAAGCAGAACTTGATTCTTTTTTTTTTTTTTTATATTTATAATTTCTTTAGATTATTCCTGAAACAATGTTTTCAATGTTAGCTAGTATTGTTTATTTACAAACACATACATTACGTGAATTACCATTACGTGCTGAAAAGGATAAATTAAGAGAATATGCTCAACTTGATGAACGTTATCAAGTAGCAAAATTAACACATGATATTTCAATATTTACTGAAAGTATGTTAATGATGAAAACAACATTAGTTGGAATAATTAAAGTAAAATATATCCAATTTAAATTTTTTTAAAATTAGAACAAGCAATTTTATTTTAAGCTTGATCCAAAACGTGTACTTGAAGATGGTATTCGAAAAGAATTAGTTAAACAAGTTGCAACTGCTTTACATAATGGTCTTACGTTTAATCCTCGTGCTAAGGTTCGTATTTCGCCTGCTTAATAGTATCCATGCTCATAAAAAAGAGGAGCACTCTTCATTGTAAATCAAAATTTTTTTAATTTTTATTTTAGAATAGTGAATTAATAGCTAAATTAGATGCATTAGGTAATCAAATGGATGGTTTTCGTCGTTCATTTGAATATGTACAAGATTATGTTGGAATGTATGGATTAAAAATTTGGCAAGAAGAAGTATCACGAATAATAAATTATAATGTTGAACAAGAATCAAATAGTTTTCTTAAACAAAAAGTAATAAGAAAAAAAATAAAATAAAACTAAAATATAATTTTATTTATTATTGTGTATATTTTCTAGATTTATGATTTTCAATCAACATTTCAATCTCGTCATATTCCAATACCACTTATTCCACCATTAGGTGATGGTTCAATTAATTTTATGGGTCGTCTTGTACGAGAAATTCTTCGTGTTACTGATCCACGTTTTACATTTTATGCTGAACAACGTAATACATGGTATGATGTACGAACAAAACAACCAGTTGTTGATATATTACTTTTTCGAAAATTACATCGTGCTGTTGGATCATTTGGATTAAGTGGACTTGATCGTTTATTATCATTTATGATTGTTAAAGAACTTCAATTACTTACAGGAACAATACAAACTGTTTTTCAACATAAAGAATCAAGTGATATGCTTGATTCATTTATGAGACAATTAATACCTATTGATAGTATAATTAGTAAATAGAAAAATAATTATATATATATATATGAAAGAATTGAAGTAATTTTGTTTTTATTTTCATTTAGATCAACCAAATCGAGTTTATTCAAATTCAGTAGCAAAAGGAGCTAGTGCTTGGTCAACATTAAGTAATTATCTTATGAAAGTTGGACAAATGCAATTATTACGTCAACAAATAGCTCATGAATTAACTGCATCAGCAAAATATGATTCAAAATATCTTTTTTATGCTCTTAAAACTTTTAATGAGTATGTTTATAAAAATTTATTCTATCTGTTTAATCAATTCGACAGTTAAAAAAAATCACTTGTTTTTTTTTCCTTTTGAACATCTCTTGATGAAATAGGCAAGATCATTTACGAATTCTATATTCTAAAAATTGAGATCTCATATTTTAATGAAGATTTATTTCATTTCTATTGTAGTACACTTTTACAAGATATTCAACAAATTTATACAAACAGTAGTAATCAACAAAATGAATATCCTGAAACACTGAATGAATTATTATATGAATTAGGTCCTTTATTAGAATCAGTTGGAATGAATGATGTTCTTCAACGTGTTTATATTTCAGCACAAAATCATTTCTTACTTATTCCATTGCTTGTTTTATATACTATTAGTCAAGTTCCACGTATAATAACACTTAAATATCTTAAAAATCAAATGCAAACAACAAGTAGTAGTTCATCAAGTAGTGGAAAACGTGATATGGATTGTTCAGCATTTGTTATTGGACTTTATACATTAACAAAACAATATCATTCAGATTTAATTGATGATTATTTAACATGTCTTTGTCAATTTATTAAATCACATATTGAACAAGCTGGAACGTAAGTCGATTCTCATTTTTCTTTTTTCAGTTTTGATTATGAATTACAGTTGAGCATAGTACTCGAAAGATTGATACTCATACTCATACAAGTGACATATCTCTTCAATAGAAACAATTTTTTCTCAAAGTAATTTAAAAAAAAAAGTCGAAATGAATGTAAGATCACTACACAAGTGATCACTTTCACCAGTACATTTCTAGCTATGAATTACAATAAAAAAAATCTTAAATAACTTTTATTCTAGGCAAAAATTAGTTGATTTTCCAATTGAAGCAATTAATATGCTTGATTTTTTAACAATGTTTATTCATTATGGTGATTTACCTATCAAAGTAAAAATTTCAATTAATGAAATTATAATAATGTTATTTCTTATATAGGTTCTCGAACAACGTTTACCAGCTTATATATGTGATGAATTTCGTACGATTTAAAAATTTTTGATGATTATTTTTAATTACTAGTCAAATAAATTCCGTGTGTGTGCGTTTATTTATTTATTTATTGATTAAGTAGAACACAAATATAATCTAACAAAATCGAGAAAAAAAATTGTTTATCAAAAAAAAAAAAAGAAATTTGCCTTTTTTTCCCCCTATTTAATTAACTAATGATTCATCATGAAGTGATCGACGACATTTAATATTACTCAAATAATTTCCATTGACATATGGAGATGATTGATGATTTGTTGAGCCATTTATTTGAGGTTTATTTTCATTTGTATTATTACGAAAATGAAAAAGACGAACTAATGATGACCACCATGATTTTGTTGTTGAATTTGATTCATTTATTATTTTATGATTATCATCATTGTCATTCGTTGATGGTTTTGATTCAACATCATCATCATCGTTAGTTATATTTTCAACATCAATTGGAGTTATTGTTTGAGATTCTTCTATTTCATTAGGATTAGTATTTTCTTTTGTAATTGACTAAACAAAGAAAAAAAAGAATAAAGATTGAATATATACAAATTAATTCAAACCGGTTGTTGACTATTGCTATCCGTAGTACTACTATTTGAATGCATTGATGATTGTTCTTCAATCTATAATTAAGATGAACAAAAATTTGAAAATAAAAAAGAAAATGAAAACATACATCATCATTATTTGCCGTGGGTGTAACAGTATTAATAGATTTTTTTTCCTTTTTTGATGTTCTGCAAAAAAAAACAAATGTGAAGACATTTTCTTTTTATAAAGATATATAAATTTAATATACTATACTAACTTTTCATTATTTGTCATACGAGCTTTTCGTTTTTCACCCATGTCGTTTGACCCTAGATGACGTTAATGGTTGACTAAGGAGTGTATATTCTTTCGTACGTTAATATCTAGAATGAATAAGCAATGAGGTCATCAAGCTATTGTCCGTTCGTCCATTTAATCGGTCAGACTAAATTCAACATTTCTTTCTCTTATTCTTTTTTTGTCGTTTCCGTTCGACCGATCGATGTGGCGATATTTTTTCTTGATATAACGCTATATACTTCTCTCTGACTCTCATTATGAAGATATACATATAAGAGACAGCACGTCAATAACTCAGGCAAGAAATTCAATTAGTATTACGCATATTGATTTGGCGCCCTGCCAACCGCAAACTTAAGTAATATTACAGCTGTTATCACTGATTGAACAACGATGGCAAAAAAAAAACGGTTGCATCATTCGAACTTTTCTAACTGATAGAGTCGAAGTAATGATAGGTATTATTGATGAAAGTTGGTTGTTTTACTCGTTGGAACGATACTTTATTATACTATCTTGACATTAATGGGATATCAAATTTTATCTATTGTAACCTAAGTTACGTGAAAAAATTTTAGAAAGTTCTAGTGAAAGCTTATGAAACTATCAAGTTATCCCAATGATACAAAAATGTAATGTAAACGAAGAAAAAAATTGATATACTATATAGCTTAACAAATGGGAATCGTGAGATTTCTGTATTAATCAATTTGGTATCCATATCATTCACGTCAAAAATAATTAAAATTATTGATAAGCATCTTGACAACAAATACTAATCAAAATCGCATAGATAACTTGTTGACAAGACGGTACCAGAACATTGATGATAAATTACAATATAGTAAAAAGTCTTTTATGTAGAAGAGAAACAACGTACAGGAAAAAATTAAAGAAGAAAGTCTTCAAAATTTCAGATCAATGGAAATAAACATATTTTTATTACACATAAAAACTGTTTACATTAATAGTTGCAAGGCTTTTCTTAGCTTCTAGAACATCTGTTTTTTTTTATATACCAAATTGTACAACTGTTTCCAAGGCTGTTGATGAGAAACTATTGTGCAACTTCGACTTAATTTGCTATAGTGTACTAAAACTTCATTGACGTTCATTAAATCATATTGGTAATATTATTATAGTTCCATATAATTTAAACCATTCAGGTATTAACGATTGAGTTGAATTTTAGATTTAATCTGTTACATTGTAATTTCCAGAGAACAAGGCATAAAGAAAGAAAAAATTTAGGAATAGAAAATTAACCTGCATTCCTCTTATAATCATATGGCCTACTCGAGATGCGTATCATAGTCTTCCTTTCATATTAATACATTAATTCTAATATTAAAATAAACTGATTTTCTTGAAATTATTTGATTTTAATTGTTTGATCGAATTACATTCAAGATACAAGGCAGTATTTGTTTATAATGTATCTGGTAGAGGCAGATAGATGGAAAATTGATCTCATTGTATTAAATTGTATCATATTGACCAGATATTCTGATCTCTGATTAACAATATTATTATCTTGGTGTTTCAATCGAATTAATGGTTCCCGTTTTTTCGAATATGTAGTGTTAATAGTATCTATGTTAAATGATCACGATGATTTTAAAAATAGATAAGCAGATAACTTGTCTCATTTTGTTATGTTGTACTCCTTGAGTCAGATATCTTCTTCAATCAATATTGAATGAACTCAAACAAAAACTCATCTTAGTATATGTCCATAGTTAAATTATAGCTATTCACTATCAGATATATACATAGGACAGTTATCGTGTGTAACAGTGTTGTATGTTGACAAAAGAATTTACCCTCTCATTATCGATAGCCAGTCTCAATTTAACATTGATTATAATAGTGACACAGATGAGTAGAGACGTTTTTAAACTATTTTTTTCATAAAATATCGATCGGAGATTTAACTTGTTCAACATTAAATAGGTGCCACAGAGTTTTATGAGCGTCTATATTTATCGATAATAATAGCTAAAGGTGTAAACTAATGTATTGATCAACAACTTTTAAAAATGCTTATTGCTATTAATGATTGAATTTTACATTTAGAGGTTTCCTGTATGTGTATTCTCCTTGAAAAAACATCGAGCACATAGCTTCACAGATTTTGTGGACGACAGTTCTCTACTTACAGCCCAAATTAACTTTGTACTTCATTTTGTATTAATGCTTGTGTTTAAATAAGTAGAGAATATAAAGGCATCACCGATTACATCATCACGTATAGTTAAAGAAACATGTATAATAAGATCTCAATCGTTTCAGGTCACATATATTCTAGCACCAAATTTTTTATGCTGTTTAGGCTCAAAATAATTAATATATGACTCAGTAAATTTCAAGTAATTTTAATAGTTGAACTCATTCATCGAACTCGAATAAACAAAAAATTTCCTCTTCGTCGTCAAAACATTTTTCATTTGTTTGCATCAACAATAGATAATGTCAATTTTATTAGTTTATTTTCACAATAGAAACGTATTCGAATGAAAAAAAAAAACATTCATATAGGAATATTTCATATTCCATTTTACATAGAAATTAATGATGATGAACATGTATATAAATTTTATGTATGAAAAATATGTCAAACAAAAGTATGGCACTTCTGTTATCTTTTATTGATCGTTTTGGTGAAAAATATGATGTGACACATCATCATTGTCTAATGATGTATATGAAATGGATTATATATGTATAAAATAGATAATTTTCATGTATTATATCGAAATGAATTTATTTTGGAAGATTTTCATATCAATACTATTGAACTTATGCTTATACATAGGATGAAACATAAAAATATGACAAAGAAATTCTATTGATTTGTTTTTTAAATATATTAGAGATTATATGAATAATGAATACATAATTGGAGTTATACATCAACACATGATTTTGTTTTGAAAGCAAGTTATAAAACAAAAAATAGATTGTTAATATTCATTAGTTACATCATAGGAACTTCTTTTAAACATAGGGCTGTATCGATAAAAGTGTTATTGATGCAAAATGGATAACGATATCATATCAAAGCACAGTTTGGAATATCAACGATACGAAGTAATCTAGAAGTTTTATTTTTCTTCCAATCTCACATGTATGTGCACTGCTGATCGAAGACTTGTTGTTTAAGTCATTCATGAATATCGTCAATAAAGCAAAACAATAGTATTTGTGATTAATTTTATGATGAAAAATTGACGGTGGTGTTCGATCTGTTCTAATCTTTGAAAGATTTGAATCTGATTTACATCGGACAGAATAAATGATCTTCCCACGTCAAAGACGAATTGGCACTCAAGGAGATATAAATAGAGGTCTAAAAATACACTCTTATTGGACTTTATCAAGATGACTAATCCGAAAAACAAAGATAGGACTAAACAACTTTTATATTCATGCATCGAATTGAGTATTATATTGAAATTAAAGACATAATTAAATTCATACAGAGTGAAGAGAGGACCCATACTCACACCTCAAGATCTCAATTATAGTCATTGAAGTTCAGAATAGCATACTCTCAATTTCGGTTTATATTATATCCTAATTATAATATAAATAATTTTTTGAAACTGAAGTTCAAATGAAAACCAAGGAAAAAGTTCTTTATATCTGTTTTGTTTTTTTTATTGAAGAAAAAAGTGAATATGGAGGATCTTTTCAAATATGAATTTAGTTCGAAAAATAGTAATAATATTGAAAATTGCCACTCTTTTATCATCATACAGAAAAATTGTCTCATGTTCATAATCATGTAAGTGTCATCTCTTCAAGAATGAAATAAAATGCAAAGCCATTTTTAAAATAATCGCGCTCTACTAGCTATCTATAATCAGATCTTTTCATAGGTACCTAATGAAGTATATGCTTGTTAGCCATTATCTATTTTTGAACGTTGGCAACTCCTACTTATCATACAGCAACAAAAATAGGCCATCAAGAATTTCTATGAATTGAATTTCTTTGTGCAAATATGATATTTTTTTCTTGCTTACAAGGGTGTGGATGTGGCACGTCAGTGTAGATTTGAATACACTCTTCACCTACACCCACATTCACACCCACTTGATCAATATCATAATCGTGCACCAGCTGCATGAATTTTTTAATACTCTAATTATATATTACTTAATACGAATATGTAACTTCTTATTCATTTGGCGTTTTTTTTGTCAATGCTTTTTTTTTTTTTCTTATTTTCTTATAAGAAGAAAGTTAGGTTAGAATCGAAATATTACTGTCTATTGCAACGACATAAAATGCTTGCGGTAGCCCAAATTAGTATTTTATTTGATGTTTTTGTCCAAAGCGTTGTTCTACTTAGTCACACACAATTTGTTCATTTTGTGAAAGTTTGTCGATAATCATGTTTTTTAAATAAAACGCTCTTTAATTCGTAGTTCAATCTAAGTAATCATAACTCATTTTACTGCACATTCATCTAATATAAAGAAAAAAGAAAAAATGATCTCTCAATCTGACTTTCATTACGAATTAACAGTTGACATTGTTGCTATTTTTCTATTTGCTCTTCTCTTTATTATTATTCTGCTTCTTAACAAGTATACCAAATTTTCTTTCAATTCTCAATGTCATTCAGATGTTGCCAGTCACGAAGAACAAGATAAAAGTGAAAACAAAATGACACAAATATCAACTAGCACAAGTACATATTCATAATTTCAACAATATCTGATCAAATTGATCAAGAACGAAAACGCTGACACTCCTAATGGATCGGATACGATACGAAATTTTTGAGTCCCATCTTATCCTACTTGGAGCCTTGATATACATATATAGATACAGACAACACTTTTCTTTTTACAAATAACTCTATGTATTCAAAATATGTTCATTTTTTTCATAAGAACAATCTAACGAAAAAGATAAACTGCAAGAAAGAACTTTGATTTTATAAAAACGAAAACTGTTTTTTGAATCTATTAAGATTCTTTTCAACGACTTTTTAATCTAGGCAACTACAGTTAAATACGTTAGAATTTAAATTATTTTTATCAGAGTTAATCTCATTCATTTCTCAAGTATTTCCCAAAAGTTACTTTTGATATACTATGTGCAATAAAATTTTGTTTTAAAACTACATGAGAGAACAAGTGACTAAATCAAAAAGAAATAAGAAAATTAAAAGACACAAATCTATATTTGACATTTTATATTTTGAGAATATAGAAGATTGTTAGCTTAGTTAACTTTTTCCGATTTCTTGTTCTCAAATACAATAATCATACTATTTTCGAGTTCACTTTATCAAGATCAATTTTAATTGAACTCTAAATATAGTTTTACTCCAAAACAATTTTTCTCATTTGTTGTTTTTACAATAAACTAATTGATAAATGATATTGTGAAAACAAGACCATATACTATTACAATAACTTATCACAAATCCAATTATTTTTATTCATTCTTCAACAATTCATTGACAATAAGAAATTTTCATACTGGATGGTCTCACAGAGAAATATTATATTCACTGTTTTCATTACTTTGTTTCTCCAATCTCTACAAAAAAATTGCCAGATAAAATTTATTTTTTCAGATGATTTTGAGTATAGCTTCAACATAGATTTTATTAAAAAGAAAAAACATTTTGAACCTTTACTTTCGCTCTTTTCATAAACTAAATAAGAAGAAGAATCATATTCATCGAAATTTTAGTTTGCATTTCTTTCTTTCTTTCCAAAATAAATATAAAATAACAAGAAAAAAAAAAAAAAAGAATTACTCAATGATCTCAAGAACTTTTTCAACAGCAACAGTTCAACCTTCATCATGTAATGTAATTGACTGCTTGTTAATCATCATTTCAATAACCAGTTACAATTGATTATCTAGATGAAAAAAATATTTAAATATTGGCAATTTCTAAACAATAAGATTTTTTTTTCAACTGACATTGGATAATGCATGATGTTATATTGCAACAATTTTATTAAGATTTCTTTCTCTTTATTGCTAATGCAGAGATTAATTTCATTTTCATGTTCAATATACTTGATGAAATCGTTTGTTGTATATTCATCATTAATTAAATCACGAATAAAACCTTCAATACAGCCATGCGCTGTGCGGTTTCTTTCTTTTTTATTCAATAACAATTCAATTACTTCATTTTTCGATAATTTAGCTTCATTACGAAATTTGTCCACCATATTATTAATTAATTCTGTTGCTTCATCATCAATTCTCTTTCCAGACTTTATATCTCGTAATGCTTTTTTACTATAATTGTTTCTCAAATTATAAGAAGTTGAACGCGAGCTATTTTTGGTTTCTTCATTTTTCCTTTGAAATTCTTCATCAATTTCATCTATCCATAGTTGTAGTAGATGAGCATAAGTATCTTTCAACACTTTATTACTTGAGCTTTTTCTAGAACAGATAATTGGAAAATTTTGTAAATAAAAATATAAGATCGACTTACTTTAATTTACCAATTTCGTTTTTCAAATCATTAAGTTGATTTTGTAAATGATTATTACCTTCTTTGAAATCATCAAGTTGTTTTTGTACTTCCTTTTTATCTTTTTTTATATTTTTAATATCCAATTGAATAGCAGCCATATCATCCTGCAAACAAAAGAACGAAAGAAATGAAAAACACATAAGCATCATATTTACGAATAATTTATGTGCAGCTGTTTCAACCAAAATGATGATCTCTTCAAGTTCTTTCGTCTGTTTTTCATCAAGTTTCATGGAATTGATGAAAGTTCGAAGTTGATGTATAGCTTGATCAATTCCAGTTTCATCGAAATATTCATCTAAATGTCCATTAATTTTTTGTTTCAGCTTGTCAAGATAAAGAAAACAACTTGGTGGCGTATCAGACATGTTGTTAAATATATTAAGTATTTTATCAAATAAATTGTTTAACTGATTAACTAAAAAAAACCAAAAATAAATCTATGTATAATTCAATTGTTTCTTGCTAACTTACGTTGTTGATCTTGAGTCTCTTCATCTTTATTAAATTCTTTCTTGCCTTCATTTTCTTCGTTCTTGTTTTTATTTTTATTTTTATGTTTGTTTTTATTTTTATTTTTGTTATTTTTATTATTATTATTTGCTGTTGTGTCCATTAAATCGTTGTTTCTATAATGAACTAATCTTTTATTTATTTGTTACTAAATATTTTCATTAAGTATTTGACTAACTTTTTTAAGTTGATTCTTGATATTCAAATGAAATTTCGTTTGAATCCAAATAAAGAATTTAATTACTCTAATTAAATGATAATCAGACAGAATATCGAGTGAAAAGACAGGAAACAAATCTAAAAAAAAAGAATATTGATAAACACAGGAGCGTTTTATTTTCAAGTTGTTAATACTGATGACAATCAAAACACGGAATGAATTCTTTATTTCATCCAACACTATTGTGAATATATATCTTCGCTAACCTCTCTCGTTTTGTAGTTCAAAAGATGTCGCTTGGTAGAATTTTAGGAAGTGCAAGAAATTACATCAATATTAATATATAGTAAAAATTATTCTCTTTCGAAGGGTACCTAAATTTATCGGAGATTAAGTGTTCAGTGTCGATCGATGACGCCAAAATTGAGGCATATCTATGGAATCGAAACGTTAAATGGAGAACCAAATCTATTATAGCACTGCAAAATATGCTTCGTGTCTTACAAGATGGTTCATCCGTCTACTTCATGTGTCTTCATTTTTTAGAGTAAGATAAACAAAACTAGAAGTGCTTTAAAAAAAAATAACTTTCATAAATATAGCATAAATATACTGGAATTAGTCAGCTCTCGATACTTCAGTCAAGTATGATATTAATTGTTATTGAAGCACTATTGTTTTTCAATCGTAGCTTAATAAAGACTCGACAAGAAGCACAGATTTATATTCCTAGAATCTTTTAGTTTGGAAGATTTATTATTGTGTAGATTATGAGAATTATTATCGATTGGTAAATCAATATTTACTAGAATAGAATCACTTATGTGCACATTAACAATTGAATCGCTTCTCTTAGGTTTTCAGTGTTTGATCTTGTGTGATTACGAATGTGACCAGATCTGCTTCACTCTTGATGAAAGCAGTGCAGATCCCTGATCGGCATATGTGCATGAACATGAGCTTATCTATCGATACAACTAGTAAACTATTTGTTCTAGATACTAGCACTGAAAGCAATTGGAAACGTACTCTTATTTAAGTATAGAACAAATATGAACTCAATTGTGAGTTTAGTACGAAAATTTTATCAGATCAAAGTCAATTTGAAACTAAAAATCAAACTTGAGATCGGAATAATTCCATAGGTTGTCGGTGAGCGTGATCGGCCGTTTGAAGATATGAGTCACTGCAATTGGAAAGTGCAATATTTCGATTGTTCAAAAGCTACATATGGACATTTGAACTACTTGTTCTAATAGTGATAGGTTCAGTATCATAGTTAAGAATTACAACATCGAATTTACAATGAGACAGCAGGGTCGCTTCGTCGAGTATTGCACTAGCGCTGTTGATAAAAAAAAATGTGATAAAAATAAGATCAATGAGACGATAAAAATAATTATCATGAGTGACGGTATTTAGTTTTGTGTAAAACATATTTGTTTTATTCATTGTCAACACAGTTGAATTGGTTTGGTTCAAGTAAGTAGCTCCATAGAAACAGATATTTCCTGAACTCTCTTGCCATAATTCTTTAAAAATCACTTTTTAGCCCATCAACTTACATTTTTTAAATATTAACGAATAGATTTTGTATGATGTGTTAATAAATGATTAGAGAAAAGAAAAATTTACTATTCATGACCTAATAGTTAACACTTGTTTCAATAAATTCTACCTTTGATAGTTAAATTTTACATTTGAAAAAAAACGAAGTCAGAAATAGTATTCCTATTTTGTTGTATAGTAAGCCTCATCACTTATGTGAGTGTTATATGTTGTTGAATATATAAATTTGCTAATGATAACACCAATAAAGAGTTGATGAAAGAAAATGGCACAAGATTTTCTCTAGTGTATAAATGTCTGTTGGAAATTATTTTTGTAAATAAAATCATCGTTTTTTTTGCCTTTTATTAATAATGATATAATAATATTAAATTCGAAATATTAATTAAACCAAATAAATATGAGATGTCCATAATTTCATTGAGATTTTCATAAAGCGATTTATTCCGAATCATATAGGATAAGACCACTTCTCATTTCATGAGCAGACGAATTATTTTTATTTCGATTTCGCTCTGATTCCTAGTCTTGATTCTAGTAATTCTTGTTCCAGTTCCAATAATAAAAACAATTGCTCCTGATTCAAACGTTGATCGAAATTAAGTTTTTGATCACTATCTCGATCAAAAAATATGTAGGCCTTGTTTTGGTAAGCCTTTGTCTAAGAAGTAATTTAAACACCGGTAGAAGATTTTTATAAATAAAAGAAAAATCTCGAATTTCATCGATTTATTCTATGTTTTTCGAATTAGCTCAAAATTACTTTCAAATCATATTTAATTTTAGTTATTTTTTCAAAAATGTATTGAAAAACAAGACTGTTGACTAATCAAACGAGAGTTTCTAATCTGATTCGTATGAAATCAAAATATTAAATTTGAAAAAGCTGCTTCTTGAGAAAATACAATCTACGTTTATACATTTCGAGTTTCTTGTAAAGGTAATCGTGGCTTGTGGCGGGATTCTTTTTCTAATCCAACAAATAATCTAACTTTTCAATTTATACATAAAACAGCTACTGTAGTAACAAACGTACAACATCAAAGCTCGAAAAATTTTGCTACTTCAGGAATTTTCAAATGAAACAAAGTTCATCAAAAGACAGATTTTTCATCAATCTAAAAGAATAATAATAATTGATTACTGGCATGAAGAACATCTCTTCTTGATTCTTCTGATTTTCGAATCAACTGTAGCATCTCTTCTTCAAATGTTAATGTAAGTTAATCTAATTAATTTTGAATAAGATAATATTTGAATTAACTATTCCCGTAATAAGCATCGAGTTATCTTAAGTGATTTAAGATTAGAAAAACAAATAATTTGCTTCATCAAAACGAATATATTTAATACAATAAGATACATAGGAAGAATTACAAATTAATGGTTGTAAGATTAATGCAAACTTCTTATAAGATAAATTTGATTGATTAACAATAATTACAAATTTATCTATTCAAAACTGTTGAATAAACAACAGAATTAATACATCTATTCAATGACAAAAATGATATTAAGATTTTATTCTATGACAAATAGAAAAATATATTATGCAATATTTCAGTTGGTAATGTCTCTTATCTAGTTATCTTTTTATCTAATAAGAAGATATAAATTAATCCTATTAAATTAATCAAAAAGTGTTTTTTGGTAGAACTTTCATTTATTTTCGAAGAGTATAGTGGATGTAAAGTTTAAATCGAAGTTTCCTCATTCCTCTCTTCATAACAGAGCTTAGCAACTAGCTTTTAAATATCATCGAGTATTTCATGAGTGCCATATGTCGACGACAAAGGAACTGAGCTAACAAGCTCTTTCAAAAAAAAATCGATTTTGTTTTTATTTTGTCAAACACGATCTAAATAGACTATTGAAGTTATTGAGTTGCGAGTGCATGTATAAATTTTCCTCCAGTAATATCTGGCATTGTCCAAGTACACGAACAAATGAATGATCAAGGTTTTAGTCATCAAGTCGCTACTTTCAGAAAACAATTCAACATATACTAGAATCTTGTTGCTGTATTTCTTATCGAAAAACTGTGCTTAGTATGATAATTGCTCTTTACATTTTCTTCATACTCACTACAGTATACTGTGATTAATACATTTCATGATGGCCATTTATTAACAATAGATACGGATTCATCCATCGAAACATATGCTGATTAATTATCTCCTACACCACATCACATCTTCGTTTTATTTCATATTTTAATTTTGCAGTGATTGTGCTAACAACTTTTTTATTGACTTTTTTTAAGAAAAAAACAAAAGGTTAAAAATCCAATAATTCTTGGTGAATTAATGGTATACATTAAAGATTGACAATTACACATATTATTCTTACACAGATATATTTATCGATAGATAACCTAGAGATCACAAGGAAACGAGGAATTAGGATGAAAGTTCAATTCAAGGAATAATTTTTCATAGCATAGGATAGAGTTGTAAATGATCGAGAAGTTTCTAACTAATGTCAAAAAAAATTCTTTTATTTACTGATTTTCCTTTCGAGATTCAGTTTGTGACAAACCTTCAAGAAGATATATCATGACATACTCATTTACATTTACATTTACATTTACATTTATTAAACTTAATATATCTATTTGACTGACAAACCAAACATAAATTTAATTTTTATCAAAACATTTATGATATAAGTGTTTGACTATTCTAATTAGAGGAAATAAACTTGCTCTCAAAAGAAAAAAGAATATCTATTAAATATTTTCCAAACGATAGAATTTAGCTAGTTCAATCATTGAGAGAAAGGATGGAGATGCATAAGAGTAGAAATCCATAAACCTCGAATTTTCAAACCAAAATATATTCATGCATAGAGAATGACTTGGAGAATAGTTTAATTTTCCGTCCACCAGAACTGGAAAAGGTTTTATTACATTGTGACACAGATTAATAAACTATTTTTTTACCTAATTCATGCAATGCGATTTGAACAATAAGCTAATCAAAGGATTTGTTGCTCTGGTTGTAAATAGTCTCATCCAAAACAGCAAGTTGTGCTAATTGATATACATATAAGTTGTTAAGATTCATTGAGATAAATTGAATTTATCATGAACAAATAGTATCTCTATCGGTATTATGATGTACAGAAAGCTTCAGGTTTCTTAATCGAAATTATGTAAGACAAATGTTAAACGATCAATACAATCAATATAATCTATAAGTTAGTGATACCATATTGCATTGATGAAAAACCGTAGGTAATCTTACATATATTTTTCAAAATAATTATACACAGCTTGTCAAAACGATTTTGTAATAGACTTTTGTGTATTTTTTATCGGGATATATGCATTTTTTTGCACAAACGTTGACAACAGTGTCATATTATCATGATTC